AAGTAATACTTATATTTTTCTTGAAAATATTGTAAGTTATATACTAAAATATTGACTTTGATTAATATCAAAAGCAAAATAGCGATTTCTCAAAATATAATTTATAGCTAAGTATACGTATAAGCGGTAAGAATACGGGTGAGTATTATTTGTGCAATAGAACATTACTACATTTGCTTGTGTTGATACTGAAATTTTGTTAAGCTTCCCATCTACACCATTACAGTTATTAGTGCTAGGAGTTCGATTGAGTAGTTAATGTGCAATAGAACATAAACATATTTGTAATTTTAATTTCTCAGATAAGAAAAGTAAAAGTTGAAATTTCAGATAAGATCTCTTGATAAGATAAGTGAAGTTATGTTTTCTCACAATTTTGTGTTACCTGGAGCGATTTGATACCTTTTCTTAAAGCTTTTTTTATGTTATGCTGGCATATATAACTTACCTCCATTTTTTCGAGGATTGTGTTGCCCATTAATATGTCAGTTAGAAATTGTGCGTTGTGGCTCTCGAATTCTGTCTATTTGAAAAGACATCCTTTTAGTTTTTTTTTATATAAAGGGAGTTGTAGCTTTAACAACCAACTGATTAAGATGGAACTTTAAGTTTTGCAACATAAGATTTCTTCACGGAGAAATGACTGTTAAAATTTGCGTACTGTATAAGAAGGACATTTCTGGAGGAAAAAAAAATCTGGTTAATGAAACTAAAATAAACGGTATTTAAACTCTTCATTTGTTACTTTTTCTGTTCATATGGTAATGGTTAACTGGTAATTCTGCCTTTCGAGATTATATTTCTTACTACCATACCTTTTGAAAAAAATACAAAAAAGTAAATTTAACCGAATAAATGATTTTTATGTCTTGCTACAAAGTGTCATAATAAAATCATCAAATTTTATCACATAAAACCATATTTTACAGCTAATTTTTTATAAAATCATTGCGCAAGCTCCTCGGTAAAAACTACCGAGCTTTTCGGTCTTAGAGCATGAAAAACTGTGAATTTTACCATATTTTTTCGCAGTGTTCTTTAAACTTTCGACGCCCGGTGGCTGAGTGGTAGCGCTTTTCCCTCCTATGCCACAGGTCCTGAGTTCGATCCTCGGGCCGGACAAGGTTCACGCAGCCTTTCATCCTTTCAGTGCAAGCATGCTTGGGAACTAAACACAGGGGGTTCCGCGTTAGGCTGACCACCTAAACCGGATCCTGCACCCCAGAGCCCTAGGTCAAGAAAACTGAGATGGGCATAGTAGGCCTAGGCTCTTCTATGGACTGTCATGCCACTGAGTTTTTCTTTAAACTTTTAGTTTACTTCAAAGTTTAAATTTTAAAACAATAACATTTTTAGCGTTATATATTAACGCTCTTTAGTATTACGAGTTTACAGGGATTCAACGTTGGAGTGATTACCTTAAGTAATTATTAAGATGTATTTAAGTAACTAAATAATAAAAACTCGTATTAAAAACCTCGTTATTAAATCTTTCAGATAAAAAAAAACTACATGATTTCAAAATCGGCGATTCATAAAGCAATCGAAAGCAATATTTTTTAGTTTACCCGAAAAATGGATAAATATTTTAAGAATGGATCTATATTTAGAAAATGAACCTAGTTCTCTAAAATTAACTTCGTAATAATTTTGTTTCACTTTTTATTATCTTCTTTTTATGTATTTACACGTTGTGCGACGAAATGTGAGTGTCAATTTTAATTATTTATGAAGTCTAGGCTATTGAATTTAAGGTTAGAGCTCGAATACAGTTGACCTACTTATGCAAAGAGCCTGTTTTTTTCTAATGTGTGGAATGTTAACGAAGACAAAGTGCATTTTTTCTTATTATTTAAGTGATTTGTCTTAAGTATTTAATTTCTCGAAACTTCTGTAATCTTAAATTTAATTTAATTTTGCGTAGTGCGCAAAAAGAAAAGAAAAGCGGACCACCCTGAATTACTTTTGCTCTAATGATCGGATCTTCACGTTCTAGAACTAAATCTTAATGGTTCAAGAAGGTAACCTGGAATATGCTAATTAATTAGTGCAGACGATATTTTAAGTTACGAAATCAGACACAAAACATGCTTTCTCTGAATAAACATACCTTTTTTCTCGGATTTCTGACCCCCAAGATATAGAGAGTAGCCGTAATCTGGGAAATATATGGTCGCCATAGCTTTCGCTCAAGACAGATCCAAAGTTTGGACGCCTTAATGTTAATTTCACTTTTTGCGTATTTCGCTATATCTCAAGAACTTCTTAGAGGAATTAAATTTTTTTTTGCATACAATAGAATTCATTTTTTCAAAGAATCCATTATTTTTCTCCAAATTTCGTGCAATAGTAAATATTTATATTTTATTATTTTGCTTAATAATAGACAAAAAAATTTGAATTGTTAGACATAATTTTCTTTGCATAATTTCAAAGTATGTAAAGGATGGCAAAATACAAAATTTGAGCGAAATCGATCAAATAGTGACTGAGAAATCGAATTTTAACTGTACGATATTTTTGAAATTCGATTTCTCCGGAACTATTCGACCGATTTCCCACAAATTTTGTACTTTGCCATGTAAAATTACGTACTTTGAAGTGAAGAAAAAAATATTTTGCAATTCAATTTTTTTTCTACTATTATCAAATAAAAAAATGAGAATAATAAATATATGCTTAAATTTATTTAATATTTGTGTGCAAAACTTTTTCATATCAAATAAAAAGTTCCCGAGATATGGCGAAAAACGCAAAAAGTAAAATTTACATAAAGGAGTTCAAGCTTTGGATAGCTCGCCTGAATAAGCTATAGGGACCATATTTCGCAGATTGTGGCTACCTACTATACATATACTTTTTCTGGGTGGGGGGGGGAATCAGAAATCCGAATCTGTTAAAAAAAATGTATGTTTATTCAGAGAAAATATGTTTTTGTGTCTGATTTTGTAAGTTAAAATATCGACTGTCCTAATTAATTTGCAAATTAGATGTTACCCCCTTGAACCATGAAGATTGAGTCCCAGAACATAAAGATCCGAACATCAGATTAAAAGTTATTCAGGGTGGTCTGTTTTTTTTTTGGTGCACTGCACATAATAATTCTTTCTACACCTGCATTGAGAAAAAAATACTGTCAAACCTACCAGAATATTTCAAATTTTACCGTGCTTTGGCTATATGGGAAGTCCGTTAGTAATAACTTTGGTAAAATTAACAATAAGATATGATTTTATAATATGCGATAAAATTTAGTAAATGTGGTAAAATATTTTCATTTTATCATCATACCTTGGAGCATGGCATAAAAACTATTCATTTGATTAAATTTACTTTTCAGTTTTATATTTTTTTTAAATGTAAGTTAATAAGAAGTATAATTTTTATAATTTTGAAAACCAGAAATTCCGGCTAACCGTTACCATATAAACAAAACTGAATCTTATCTCATGCATTATTTTAGATCCGAAAAACAATTCGTTTTTATTTTGAAAAAAAATTATCCGAGAAGAAAAAAAAACATTTAATGCTTGTATATCATTTGAGTTCTATGAGAGGAAAAAGAAACTAAATCTTATCTCATGATCTAATCTAGTACAAATAAGTCTTTTAAATTTATCTCTTGTCCGATTTAGATAAAATAAAAACACAGCTGAGTATTATCTTATGCCCGATTTAAATAGAAAGAAAACAAAACCGATCATATGCTCTAATATAGATACAACAAAATTTTCTCTAAAATTTTTTATAATTTTCTTCTTATCTCATGTTCTAATTTAGATACAGCGAAATATTTTTTCCTTAGTAAAAAAAATGTTAATGTGATAAAAACTTCAAAAGCATCAGCATCATTTGAAATTCAATGGGAGGAAAAACGAAACTAAATCTTATCTTGCAAAACAAATTTTAGTCTAATCTTGTGTTTTAATGTTTTAATTTAAATAGAATAAAGTGAGACTTAATCTTATATCTTGATCCAATTTAGATATTACGAAGTTTTTTTCTTATTGTATAAAAGTGTTAATCAGGAAAAAGACATTAAAAACTTTAGCATCATTTGAAGTTCAATGGGAAGGAAAACGAAACTAAATCTTATCTTGCAAACTTATTAGATACAAACAAACTTTAGTTTCACTTCATGTTTTAATTTAAATAGAATAAAGAGAAAGAGTAAATCTCATATCTTGTTCTAATTAGAACACGAAGTTTTTTTCTTATTATAAAGAAATGATAATTGAGAAAAAGCAAGTTTTTAAAATTTCAGCTTCATTTGAAGTTTAATGGGAGTAAAAACGAAATTAAATCCTATCTTGGGATCTAATTTAGATACAATTTTAATAGTATTTCGTGTTCGAATTTAGATACAACAAATTTTTTTTCCTTTTGTGAAAAAAATTGAACATGGTGAAGAAAAAACAAACAAACAAACATCGAAAGCTTCAGCATCATTTAAAATTCAATGGGAGAGAAACAAAACTAAATCTTATCTAGCGATCTAATTAAGATGCAAACGAATTTTAGTCTTATCTCTTGTTCCATTTTAAATTGAATAAAAACGAAACTAAAATCGCATCTTGTGTTGTACTTTAGAGTTAACAAACGATTTTTTTTAATGTGAAGAAAATAGATCACAGGAGAAAAAAATTCGTTTGAATGGGAAGAAAAAAAAATTCTTATCTTGGGATTTAATTTTGAAACAAATTTTTCACTATTTTCAGGAGAGCAACTAGCATTTTGTGTTGTAAGAAATCAAACTCCTAAATTTTTAAATTTTTTTCGTGTTTTGGACTGTCTTGAAATTTTTTTCTTAATTTCTTTTTGGTAGAACATTACGTATGCTCTGTTTCATACCACATTGCCAAAATAAGTTGGCGAGAATATAAAAATACATCAATCTCACTGACACAGAAAACACGCATTTTACTTATTTGTAAGAGTTGCTTACTTGTGTTAGTTGTAATAATGCAAGAGGAAAGAATGAAAATTCAAAGCACAAAATATTATATTGCACAAAATGAATTTTATTTCTTGTGAACGACATAGATTTCATGAACCATAAACATATGCAGATTAAGGAGATATATTTCTCAGAGAGAATGAAAGAAGCATACATCGGGGTTTTCAAAAATACAGGACATTATACTTTGAAAACAAACATGAATCAATCAATTAGATGTTTACGAAGCTCGTTTGAGAAAAATTATTTCGAAAGAAATGTTGAAAGAAAAAATAAAGGAACATCAGAAACATTCATAACTAGACCTTCATCAAATTTGTACATCGAGAAATTATCACAAAATCTATAATTTTAATATACAATTTATTATATGAAGATTACTGAATTCCTTCATAATTCTATATTCACATATTATCTTTAAGATGTAAATGGGATTTTCATTCAAAGATTCACAATATATGGGCGTATTTACAGTGATTCAAGAAGGAATATAACATTCTAAATATATTCTGTTTATCTGTATATAGTAATTTATACAGTTTAGAAAGGCAGTGTGAATATATTACTATTATAAATATTTTAGAATCAGAAAATTTTTCATAGTACTTAAATTAATATTGACAAAATAAAATAAAACTAGATATTTTTTATTAGTATATAATAAACTTAGGGGTTTGAAATACATCATTTTTTCTTGATAAAACTATTTGAAGTTTAAATGAATATGGGATTAGAATTCGGTATTGTGTTTGAATTTTTTTATTTAAACATTTTGAAAGGCGCAATATAACATCATAAATATATTATCTTTACCTGCATAAAGTAAATTATACAGTTTAAAAAGGTTGTGTGAGTAATGCTATTACAGATGTTTTAGCAGTTGGGTAATGTTTTTGATATTGAAATTTAAGTTAACAAAATAAAGTGATACTGCATACTTTTTATAAGTATGCAGCAAATTCAAAGATTTGAAATGATTTTTTTTAACGAAGAAATATTAAGTATAAATGAATACATGCGTATAATTTGGTATGGTTCTTATATTTCTTAGTAAAATGTTTTTAAAAGTGCAATAAAAATTATGGATGTAAGATCTGTTAAATTTAAAACAACTGAGCAAGCAAACCAAACAGAATATAAACTTACTTATTGTAATTAAAAAAAATGATTTTAGATTCAGAGATTTTCATTTTAAAAATAAAACTTTGTGTGTGTTTATATGAAAAAGATTAAGTACTTTAATAGAAGAAATCGAACTTTCAAAACTTCGAAAATTCATTATTTTCTTGAAAAAATTATTTTATTATGAATTAAATTAATCCGTCTCCTGATTTAATAATTTTTTTGAAAAAATATTCTAATTTTGTTATTACGATGAATATAAATATGCATAGGTATCTGAAATCTGTATTGAACAAAGAATATTTAAAATTATTTTCTTAAACTTATTTGTAGTTGAGAGCTGAAATTATCATTAACACTTGTAAGAAATGTTTTTAAAGTCTTTCAAAAACTCTCCTTGATTTAAGAAATAAAATGTAAATAAAAACTTAAAATTAAAAGTATGAATACTTTGCTTAGCACAGTTAATTCTGATTTTATTTTAGATGCTTATATAATCTGTAACAATAATTTAAAATTTATTTTATTATTATATCATTATATAATTTGCATCTATATATATCTCTAACACTATTATCTTTAGGTAAAGAATTAATATTGTAAAATTCACGGTTGACTTATGGCAAGCATTCATTACACGTTTGGCACCTATTATGGATTGAAATTTTTCAAGAAAGCATTTTTGTAAATTATTCACATTAAAATTTACAATGCACTTTGTGACTGATCTTTCATCGTAACACATAGAACAAAATATACAGTTTACTTTCGTAAGAGCAATCAGCGATTAGAGGGGGGATTGGGAGAGATACACTTGCATTTGGATAGTATCACTGTTTCAAACGTATGATACAAATATTAGTGTCAAACGAAAAAAAGATATCTTTACAGTTTATAAACATACACAATTACCCTGTTGATAACGAGGAAGACTCTGAGCTGCTTCAGATTCAGATAAAATTTACGTTACTTTCCTCTGAAAAATTAAATTAGAATGTGCGTTCGTTAATTCAACCAGATACATATTTCCGTACGGCAAATTCGTTTTTTTTAATCATCAGACATGGATTGAAGACTAGGTGTGGATAATGGACAACTGTAGCATGGCTAATTTTAGACTATCATTCAATGAAATCATCATATACAGCTCAGAACATGAAATTTTTTTTTTAATTTTTAAAAAAAGAAAACAAACCGTCAGTGATTGCTTGAACCATCTTCTTCGGTCAGTGCCTGGTTATTTATCGGACATGTTTGTATGTGCAATGAAGCGTCAACACCAATAGCTTTCACAGTGGGTCTCACATCGGAGTCAGGATAAGACGAGGAAGTATTTATGGCTGCATCGACGCTCACGACATTGTTAGTGTAGCACGGACCACTGTACTGTGAGTACTGTAAATGATTGGATTCGGTGTTATCGACTGAATTATCTCCGGCAACACCATTCTCCATAGAAGATGGCGGAGAGGATGACCTCCCCCAACAGAATACATCTGATGCACGGCTATCAGAATCTATTCCGTTCTCAACGATGGACAGGGGTGGGGTCATTGTGGTTATGGGAGGCATACTAACATTAGGTGGGGTTGTTGACGATAATTCTGAAGAAGTGTTACTGCATATAATGTCTCCCGGTACAGGAGACACTTTTGATATAAGGATAGGTGAACCAGGCATTAAAGCTGGATCTAGATTATTTAAGTTTGGTTCGTTTGTGTTCGGCTTTGTCGTCACACTGTTAACAGAGATTTGCGAAGACGGTCCGTTGATTACTGGGCGTTGAGGTTGAGGTACACATCCAACGCTTGTAGCGGCACTGCTGTTGCCGTTGACTGCAGTTGCTGTTGTTTTGCTCTTGGTTGATTTTTTAGTTGAAGTTTGAGAATTTTGTTTTTCACCGGATGTTTTCATTTCCGCAGCTTCCGCGTTTGAAACACCATCTTGTTTTTTCCATTTCGTCCTCCTGTTTTGAAACCAGATTTTCACCTGTAGAGGAAAAAAAGAAGATGAGTGAATTATTTTTTTATGGTTATTAATTTGAGTATAGTTTTTAAACTAAAGTAAAAAACTAGTTTTTCGTTATAATAACTTTACACTTTCAATCAGTTTCCACAATTGAATTGTTGATACCATTTCTAGCTTTAAGTTAATTAAGCTAGTTAGGTGACAAAAAGATAAGCGAAAATTATATGAAAAGAAAATAAGAAAACTTTATTGATATCTTATACACAAATAGTTCAACGCACAAAGACATATGCATATAATTCCTTAGAATATATTTTTATTTTATTTAAATAATTATTTTTTTAAAATAGAATTTCTAATTTTTTGTTATCTGTTACATTTGTGCTCCACTGGCATCGTTTTAATTTTAACGCGAAAACGTTTTAATTCGTAAAGAAGGGAAATATAATATCTGATTTGAAATTGTAAATCTTGTTCAGATTGTTTTTCCTCATAACTATTTGTTAGGGGAATTATCTTTGCTTTATATGAAGAAAATTATAAATGAATCAGAAAAATGTCACAGCTTTGCATTTATCATTTAAAAAAAAGTATATTTGATCTAGTTAAAATACATCGTAGCTAAAAATGGCTTAATAACTTATATGGTGATTAAAGTTACTGGCCAGACCCATTACTTCTTTAATCAGTCATGTTAGCCCACATATGGTATTTGGAGCTGTTGTGTTTGAAATTATCTCAGCGCAGACTTTAATTATATTCATAGTAAAATTGTATTTCCATAATTTTAATCTGGAAATTTTTAAGGGTGAATTTTAAGCATCTATTATTATCGGCTAATTAAGAAGGCTCGAAACTTATTTGCAAAATAAACGCAAAACTTCAGTTTTCACTTCGGTGGAATGCTTTCAACTTTATTACAACATGATTTTCCAGGTGCGAAAATTGAACAGGTTGAAAAGCTAATTACAGAAAATTTAAAACTTCACCGTTGTAACGTAAGCACGTCTATAATCATTTACGACAGCTAAAATTCGAACATCGAAAACAATTTAGAAGGCACGTGTTTGAAATATGAGACGTTCAGGTTTTGTTTCGAAGCGAACACTTTAACTCCATTAATGAGCGGGACCGTTTGCTAGGTTCAAAAAGGTCGGCTACTAGCGCCGCCTACCGGTAATCGTGTAAAACGTCTTCTAATATCCCGTCCGCCATTAATCAAGAAATGGAAGATAATAAACTGCCTTCATAACGTCACTTTCAACGTTAAATGGGGGCGGGAATTGCTTCAAATGGCAGATTAAAACTTACTTAGGCAGCGGGATAGTTTAGCTGATGTAATGAACTCACATTGCTCTTTTAATATGCTCGTTTACTGCCAAACGATCGTCGAAGTGGGCGCCATGTTAGGCCCAAATTAAAATAGCGTATCAATTTTATTTATACTTTGTAATTTCGTTATCGAGCAACTCAGCAGAATGTATAAGGCAAGGAAGGTGTTATTAAATATGAAGTGGTTACTGATATGAGAAAAGGTTTTTTTTGTTTTTTCATTTTAAGGGTGAGAAAAGCGATGAGGCTTCATTAGGCTATTAAGGAGGTTTTGAAATTTTGAGAACGTAACTCAAATGACGCGTTATTTAAGTTTTGATTTGATTTTTTTTTCTCAATCTTTGTTTTCGCGTAGAATAATTGGTTTTCTAAAATTAATTGCCTGGTATTTGATCCGTGGTTTTCATAATGAAATTCAAGTCAGGAGTAAAACTGTAAGGAAATAATGTATTTGACTTCTTATATTGCCGAATTGGAAATTTTTATTTTGAAGGACTCATTTTTGATCATTATAAAAAATAACGGTCATAAACTGTTTACTTGTAAGTATATTCTCTTGAAAAATGCATAAAGAAAGCTTATCTACGTTTCTGATAGGTGTTATGTTTTGAAACTGTGTTACGCTTCACTTCTAAAAAACAAAGCATAGTTCTTATACGCTTGTGATAAAATTTCTAAAGGATAACATTTCAGTTGAATAGCAATTAGTTTCGGTATTTTTTTTGTGCATATTTTTAATCCTGTAAGGAAAGTAAATTTTTGAAATCTGCTTGTAACTGCTACGAGAATAATCGGAAGACAAATTTTTTCATAATATATCATACATCTTTCTTAACTAGGATTGAGCAATGTTAAGTTTCTGTGATTAGGGTTCGAATTTCTACAGAGGAATGTTATTGCGAAAAAAGTTTGAATCATTACAAATTATGATCAGAGGGTGGATAAGTGCAGCAATTGTTTTTTCTTCATATAATTTAGTCATCGATGTGTAATAGAAATAATTTGAGTTTTATTAAATCTAAAAAAGGACTATATTTTCTAGACAATAACGCTTAAAATCCTTTGAAACGTCATTGTAATATTTATCAGAAATTGCAAATATGTACATGAAAGGTTTTAATAATGGTTGAAGGAAAATGTGAATTTTTTACGTTTTAGTTTATAAATAAACACATTTTTGAGGCATTTTGAAATTTTTTTTAATGCGAATTTCTTAAAGTTTATGCATGGCTACGTTTCTGCATTCATTTGTCCAGTGTAAGAAATATTTAGACTGAAAACTTTATGGTTTAAACTTTTGATATTTACATATGTGACGTTTACATATTTTGACGTTTACATATTTTGACGTTTACATATTTATGTATTTATGAGCTGGTTCTATGGGAGGATAATAAAGTTTAATAGACATGTATTTTTAAAAAAAAATTATGATAAGTAATCACAGAATTTAATTACAAAACCGATAATTTTCCATTGATTTAAATTAAAAACTGGAATTTACAAATTGTAAAATTCTATCAGGTACTGCATCAAATTAATTCTTCCAGTGATTTGCAATATGACTCCAATAAAATAATAAATATGACTTCAATAAAATAACTTGAAGAGGGAATGAATTATTATCTGTTGTATAGTTATGAAATGTTTGCTGCCTTTTCTATTATTTCCAAGGAGTTTTTTAGATAATGGTTTTAATTAGTAAAGTTTACACTGCTTTCTGATATATTATTTTATGGAATCCACACACTCCAAGTTAAATTTATGTAACAAATAAAGTAACTTTACTTATATATGACCCTCTTGAGGGCTCACCGTTTGAGTGAATGGTGCATAATTTTGTACACAGGCGTTATGATCTATGCGTCAAAGAATGATGTCAAAAATTATTATTTAGCTTTCACTATTACAGTGACAGAATTTCGAAATTTTTAAATGACAACACCCAAACCGCGATGGTTTACGTATGTCCATGAAGTGACTCAGGTTCGTATTCTAGTGGTGGCTGATTGCTACGAATTATGCTCCCGGCTTGCATTGACCGCAGTACTGCCTTAAAATATCCTCAGTGGTTGACGGATCATGACTTAAAGTCCCCTTATTGTCGGGCTAACCATGGGAGGTTTTTGTAGTTTTTCCTCTCCATATTGCATAAAACTATCACAAGTATAACGTTAGAGTAACGTTAGAATAAAAGTTATTGTTAATAGAATGATTTCTTTCTTTAAAGGTGATGAAAAGTTTTTAGCGCAGTCAATATTAAAATTTGTATCGAAGAATTAATAATATTTTACAAAATTCGAAGTTGAAGAGATGCCATTCCGATTAATTATTTTAGAATGAATGAATAAAATTCCTCAGTAAAAAAAATCGGAAAAATATATTTTGAGTTTTTTACTTTGTTGATTGCAAAATGGTGTTTTTCTTTTGTTATTTGAATGTATTTTTATTTTGTCGAAATCAACCAGGTAATTTTCAGTATTGTATTTTACTATGGAAGATACAAAAAATAAAAGATTTATGTGTACGATGCATTCCTTTTTTACAATTATAGCTTATTTTTAAGTCCTGTTTTCTGAAGAAGAAAAATTCAAAAGAAACTATTTCACAAGTGAAACGAAAAAAATCTCTCTATAATTGAGAAGTTGTTATCCATAATAGGATTTGTTGATTTTTAAATTTTTAGCTGATTGCTCTTATTTTTGCTTTGGGGATTTTAAATTGGAATGTATTTCCGTGTCCAATATTTTACCGGTTTGGCATTTCGTCATTCCTGAACTACAACATTAAATTCAACTATAAAAAGGTGAGCACATTTCTGCAAATCATTTTGGATTAAAATACTACCTTTCCTTGAGCAATCTTATAAACAATTCAATACGTGTGTAATAAATGTAGATTTGACATCGAATTGGCATGAAATTCCACCCAGTGTGTTTATTTAGTCGCCAAAATGGAACGAAAACATTAACTAATAAATAGATTTTTGATTATGTTTTTTCTTATTATCCAAGTCTAAATATTTTGAGTTCCATATATTTCTAAGCTTAATGATAAATGGCTTTTGTGTTTTGCTGTAGAATGAGTTCAACTTGTTTATTTTGCAAACAGTTCAAGAAAATATTTTCCCCTCCTTCAGAGCAGATAGATCGAAAAGCTCATCAAAAACTTTCTTTCCAAAGCATTTAGCTTCACTTATTTATCTTTCTTTTCTCGCCCACTTTTAGGTTAACAAGATTGCCTTCGCGTTGAGGAATTAATGCCCGTTAGACGCATTTAGAGACTTATACTATGTCAGCCGTAAAAATACGAATCATGCGAAAGATTCCTAGTTTATTTATAGAATTCTTAGGCCGAGAAGGAAAAGAGGATTTATAAATAATAAAAAAATGTCGAGAGTTCTTGCCAGAAATCACAACCGTCCATTTGTTTCAGTGACTTGTCACATACAGTCAATAGAACAAGGCTCAACGCTAACTGCAATTAATGCGTGAACAGACACACGAAACAAGTCGGCCGTGAACCCCATTCGCCTAACTCATTTTTGACTCCAGTATTTATAGCCTATACCTAACTCACTATACAGCCATGTTTTCCGCCTACCCTTGCGTACATTTCAGTCTTTGTGCCGACGTTTCTGATAGTCTGTTAAATGGATGTGGAGTTTTTTTTTTTCTTCCTTTGGCTTA